CTTTTTTCTTTTTCTTTTTTCTTTTTTCTTTTCTCTTTTTTCTTTTCTCTTTTTCTTTTTCTTTTTTCTTTTTTCTTTTCTCTTTTTTCTTTTCTCTTTTTCTTTTTCTTTTTTCTTTTTTCTTTTTTTCTTTTTTCTTTTTTTTCTTTTCTCTTTTTTTCTCTTTTTTTGTGAGGTGTTTTTATCCTTTTTTTCTGGGTTTTTTTTTGTGTTTTTTGATTGGTTGGTTTAGTTTGTGGGTTTTTTTGTGGTTTTGCCTTTTTTCTTTGTTTGTTTTGGTTTTGCTTGTTTTTTATTTTATTTTGGGGTTTTTTTGTTGTCGTTTTTTTCTGTTTTGTTTTCTTTGTTCCCTGCAATTATATTATCCAAAAACATGACAAACCCTCCTCTGGTAACAGTCTCATTAATTTTTCATAGAATTTCTACAATTTTAAAATTAACAAATACTTTTTTCTTCTTCTTATGGGAGCAAGTTTTGATTTCCACCTTGGTCCTGCTGATCATCCACAGAGAACTGGCCCGTTGATGAGTCCTTTGTCCTTTTCATTTTCCATCTCTCCAAAAGGATTTTTAAATTTAAGCTGTTGCTGCACAAAAAAGGGCTTTATTTCGAGATGCATCTTTTGCATCCTGGCTGTTCACAGAAATAACAACAAGAGTTATTATTTTTATCCTGGCTTTGTATTTTGGGCTGTGATATTTTAGTGAGGACAATCTTTGCCTTAAAGACAGTTCCAGAGGAGTTATGTATGCACAGATTAAACCACTGGCCATGCACTGATTTTTTTTTAACTGAAAAGTGAAATAACACTCAGTGTCTTTTTATAATCAGGAAAACATTGGGAAGAACTTCATAAAGGAAAAAAAAATCAGCGAGAAACTGTGTTTTCTTGTCTTCTGGAGGCAGGAATATTGAGGTCAGAGCATCTGGTGTGCAGGTTTGGAGTTCACTTTCCAGCCCCACAGTGGTTGTGCCCTGCAAGGGAATTTTCAACTTCAGAGTATTTCAATATATTTAATTAAAAAAACCTCTTTGGGGCAGCTTCTCTACCAAGTTACAATCGATATTTAAAGTGAATATGACCATAAAAAGTGTTCCAGAGTGACAGAAATCTAAGCATTGGCTCATTTTGCGTATATTCCTGATTTTTGGGATGTGGCTGTTGCTGGGAGGAGGGATTTGTGTTCGTGTTCACGATGCCAGAAATGCTGTTTATCAATTTAAAAAACCCAACAAGTGAGGCTGGAAGTGAATTTAATCTCCCTGAAAAGCTTTTGTCGGCGCAGATTTCCCTTGAATCCCCGAAATAAATGCTGTTACTCCCCGAAAGAGTTAAATATCCTGTCCTGGGGTGAGATTGATAGTCAGAGGAAATAGGAGGTACCTGGAAAGAACTTCTGCTCCCGAATATTGCCAAGCTGCCTTTCCCTCCGCTTTGTTATCCTTCCCCAGGCTCCCTAATCTTTCCCCTTTGCCTCCAACCACCTCCCAGTTTCCTGTTTGCCTCTTCCCCTCTGGTTTTCCTCCCGAATATTCCGGGTTTTTCCCTGCCCCGTGCCGGGGGAGCTCGGGGAAGGATGAATGCCATCGCCGTGTTCACGGTGGCCATTCTCTTCTGTGTCTCGTGCCTCTTTGCAGCTCTGGGTGTAAGTTCCTTAGCCAAGGGAGGCTTTTTGGCTCTCTGGAATGTTGCTGGAAGTGTAAATGTTGAATTTTCCGAGCAGTAATTAAAGGTTTTCACTTTTAATTAAGGTTATTCGCAGCTCCGCCTCCTAATTTTTCGAACTGATGTTTTCTCCAGAGAATTTTCCTTGGAACATTGCTGGGAGAATGTTGCTTGTCCAGCTTCGTTTTTGGGATATATGTTTTCAAAACAATGTGAATTTATAACTTGTTTTCCTTTTTCCCTCAGAATATTTCAGTTCTTTTTCAAAAACCGTTCAAAAAAAAAAAAGTTGAATTGACTTAACCGAAGATACATTTTATTGTAAAATTTTATCCTTTTTAATATCTTGAAATAGGAATTTTCTTTTCAATGAATAACAGAGAACATTTGCTTTTCTCTTGCAGATTGCATTCTCACAGCACAGCAACTTTATGGACCTGGTGCAGTTCTTTGTGACATTTTTCAGGTACTTTTCATTTAAGACACTTAAAATGTTTCTTTGGGTTTTGATTTTCGGTGTTCGGTTTGGTTTTTACCTTAAACATCCTGCTGCAGCACAGCCTAAAAAAAATGGGAAAATCTGCTTTATTTGAAGTATTTGATTAGGAAATAGGAGAAGGAAATTCATGTTTGTCTTGGGTGTGCAGGGAAAGGGGATTTTGGGGGCTGGGAGAGGCTTTTGGAAGGGGAGAAGCTCCTTTTCAAATGGTTTGGAAAACACTGTGTGACTTCCCCCATGGAAGAGCTGACGTGTGATGTGCTGCAGATATTCACACCTTGTCCCACACCCATCAGGATTTAAGGATGTGGACTTTGCAGGGAGTTATCCTGGAGTAAATTCCTCCTCTTTCGGTACCACCTTTGGATTTCACACCGAACCCATAAATATGTCAAGTTAAACACAAACACGTGTTACAGCACAAAAGGAGCCAAATCCTTCTGTCCTTCAGGCACTGCTTGAAGTTCCTGTCTGGGTGGGAAGTGCCCTGAGGATTCCCTTGGAGCTGGAACCAACAGGAGCCATTTCAGTATTTGTTTTCCATCCTCCAAAACCTCCAGCCCTGGCAGTGCCTCCCAAAGCACAGCAGGTCCTCTTTTCAAGGCCTCCAACCCAACGTGTCAGCTCTATTTTGGGAGCTGTTAATCCTCCAGGAGTGTAAACCAATCCCTGATGGATGAGGAGCCCTTCAGGAGGGATATCCATGGAGTGAACACCACTCCAGGTCTTACAACCTGTTCCTGAATAGGGATTGTTATGCCTGGTGTAAAATGAGCAGTGGGAATAATCCCTCACTTCAGATTTCATGCTAAATTTAATTAAAGCAAGGAGCTCCAGATGGGTCCTTCACACAAGAGGTTTATATCATTTTTTTTTAGTTTTTTTTTTCATATGGAGCTTCCAGAGAGTGGAATCTGCTTTAGTGCAGTCCCTGGGAACAGCAGGTTGGAGCCACCACCTTCCTGCTGTTTGTAAGCAGTGAGTGGTTACTCCTGGCACACACACTGGGTGTTTGCTTTGCTCAATTCAGCACAGTCATCTTCCCTAAAAAATCTTTGTGGCATCATAATTAGTTATAAGGAGATCATAATCAATTATAATCAACAATCAGGATTATTGACTATAAGGAAAATAGGGAAGCAGTTGGTTCTTTAGTTCCTTTTTAGTGCCATAAAATCAGTCTGCAATTAAAACTGCCCTTTAGTTCTGAACAGACCCAGATCCAGCTGAGGGTTTGAACTCCTCTACAGGAGTGATTCCTCCAGATCCATTATTGGAAGAGAATCCCAGAGAAGCTGCTCCTGGATCCCTGGAAGTGTCCAAGGCCAGGCTGGATCAACCTGGGATAGTGGAAAGTGTTCCATGGCAGGGAGGTTGAACTAAATGGGCTTTAAGGTCCTTCCCAACCCAAACCATTCCATGATTCTCTGACTTCAGCACTGAAACATCTCCACAGCTCTTAAAGACTCCTACAGTGCCTGCTTCTTTATAAAGTTAAGCAGGATCTCAGAGAGGTTTGTTTGGCCTCTCTCATCCCAAATCACTTCCTCCACGTTTCCTCTAAATATGCAGACCTGACATTAGTGCTCTGGAACAGCCTGACCCTTTTTCTGCAAACACAAATCGTTCAGACAAGCATTGTAATGGCTCTTTTATTTCCCTTTTCCAGAGGGACTGGATTTTGCAGTACAAATCCAGTGCTCCCCTGTTAACTCAAAAGCACAGTTAGGTGCTAGTTTGTTAAAGAACCACAGAATGCCTCGAGTTTGGAGGGATCCACGAGGATCAGCAGGTGCAGCTCCCTGCTCCTCCCAGGAACGTGCATTATCCAGGATTGGGGATCTGAGACCTTCAGCTTTCCCCTTCTTTCAGCACTGTCCACACCCCCTGGAAAGAGTATTTCTCTCCAGACCCAGCTGACATTTGGATTGGATGGATTTTCACTCATCCCACACTTGAATGATGGACTAGAAAAATTTTTCCATGTGTTTGTGTTGGGACTCACAGAATCCCAGAATGGTTTGGGTTGGAAAGGTCCTTAAAGACCATCTCATTCCACCCCCTGCCATGGGCAGGGAAACCTTCCACTAGCCCAGGTTGCTCCATCCCTGGAAGTGTTCAAAGCCAGGTTAGAGCAACCTGGAATAGTGGAAGGTGTCCCTGCCCCATGGCAGGGGGTGGAACTGGATGGGCTTTAAGGTCCCTTCCAACCTAAATCATTCCATGATTCCAATCCTAGTCTGAAGCAGGGGATAAGGATATTATGTATCTCAGTGAGCACATACAGCTGAATATATATTGAATATACATGTCCAAAAGTTGGGCAGGTTGAAGAGTTTTCCCTCCCTCCATCACTGGATCTCCTTGAGAACTGTTACAATATTTAACCTCCTAACAAGGCAGAGGATTATGACCGTGTGGATTTGGGAGAAGACAATTTATTGGTGTTTTCCAATTAAGCATTTTATAATGCATTAAACATTCGACATTCTTTAACTGCTCCTGAGCTGCTCTCCCAGTGCTTTATTTTCCAGTCCCTGTAACTCCCTAATTAACCGGTGCTGGAACAGTGGGATTCATCTCGCTGGGTTGGGGGGGAAACTATTGAAACGTTTGTGTTTTTAATGCTCTGGGGCACATTTCATAATTACAGTTGGATCCAAGGCAGAGCATAAATAAGTAATATCTGAGAGCCCCCTGTGCTGTTAACGAGAGAGACTTGGCTGGGAATTTGCTCGCGAAGCAGAGGCAAGAAAAATGCTTTGTGAGAAGAGTTGGTGACTCCAGCAGCAAACCCAAAACCTGGGATGTGTATCAGTTCTGTTTAATGGACACAGAAAGAGATGTTGTTCTGGAAAATGGGTGTTTAGAGGGACTTTCTGTTGGCACATTCGAGGGTGTTGTTTCGTTTTGCTGTTCTCCGGGGAATGCAGGAGTTGCCCAGAGAAGCTGTGGCTGCCCCATCCCCAGAGGTATCCAAGGCCAGGGACACTTGGAGTGGGCTTGGGGCAACCTGGGATAGTGGAAGATGTCCCTGCCCATGACAGGGGATGGGATGAGATGATCTTGAAGGTTCCTTCCAACCCAAACCATTCTGGGATTCGATGGTTCGTGGAGTGGTTTCTGGTGGCCCCAAGGACATGGAAATGTTGGAGCAAGTCCAGAGGAGACCATAAAGTTGATAAAGGGGGTGGAACATCTTCCCTATGGAGACAGGCTGGGAGAGTTGGGAATGTTAGCCTGGAGAGGAGAAGGTTCTGTGGAGACCTCATAGCACCTTCCAGTGTCTGAAGCTGGAGAGGGACTGTTCCTCAGGAACTGCAGTGACAGGAGAAGGGGGAGCGGCTTAAGACTGAGAGAGGAGAAATGTAGGTTGGATATATGGAAGGAATTCCTGGCTGTGAGGGTGGGGAGGCCCTGGCACAGGTCACCCAGAGAAGCTGTGGCTGCCCCTGGATCCCTGGAAATGTCCAAGGCCAGGTTGGATGGGGCTTGGAGCAACCTGGGCTAGTGGAAGGTGTCCCTGCCTGTGGCAGGGGGTTGGAACTCGATGGGCTTTATAGTCCCTTCCAACCCAAACCATCCTGTGATTTTGTGAATCAGTGAAATCTTTCTGAGCTGGGGATCTTGTGGCACATTTCCATCTTCTCCAGCTGGTTGTGACCCCATCTTGACCCTGCTGTGCTGCTGAGCTGCCTGGAGAACCCCAGAGGCAAACGGGAGGTTGGGATTTTCGGTTTCATTGCTGACATTTGGGATGATTTAGGTCAAGCCAGTCCTTCCAGCGGGCAAGCATTGCCAAACTCCAGCACTGCTGGGTTCATGGAATATCCCAGGCACTGGCTGGGCTGCCTGTGAGGCACACAGTGTGGAAAAGCAGGAACCTGGCCCTGCATTCCAACAGCACCAGAATGCAGGATTTGATTTCCATTTCATTTAGGAGCTGCCTCCTGTGGGCACAGGGTTGTGCCTCATTTAGCTGCTGTTGGGCTCTGGGAGCACCTTCTGGAGCTGGAATTCAGCACCAAGCCAGGCTTTGGTTCCCTTTATTTTGTCCCACATTATATTTTAAACTAAGAAAATGTCAGTGGATAAAGGTTGGGCAGGACGGTGCCGTTCTGGGGTCGTTAATATTCCCTTCTAATTGGGGCCGCAGGAGAAATGATGTTCCAGCCATTGGTAACCTTTGCAAAGCTAATGAATTGCAAGCAAACTGGCCTTTGTTTCCTCCTCTCTGCTCCTCATAATTTGCACATTGTGCAGTTGAGTTTCAGCCCGGTTTGAGCTGTTTTGGCAATTCCTAGTCAACGTTTTTATTCCTATTTGTGCCCCCTTGTCTTCCAAAAAATCTGTGTCTGCCCCCACACCTCCTTCTTCCCAGAGAAGCTGTGGCTGCCCCTGGATCCCTGGAAGTGTCCAAGGCCAGGTTGGACAGGGCTTGGAGCAACCTGGGCTAGTGGAAGGTGTCCCTGCCCATATCAGGGGGTGGAATTAGATGGACTTTAAAGTCTCTTCCAGCCCAAACCATTCCATAATTCCATGATCCAGCAGTGACTCTCTCCTGTCCCATCAGATCCCATCAAACCTCACGTGCCTCTATGAAAGACCTGAATATCAAATGGTGTAATTTGATGCCAATAAATGGGCTTTTTCCTCAGAAAAACTTCACCAGGAGCTGTATTTCTTCCATACAGGACTCAGGCAGATGATTTTATGTGCTGTATATTGTTTTTCCCAGCTGTAAGTATTTTCCCAGTGTTTTCAATAAGTGGGAATGGCCTGTTGCAATAATTCAGATCTGGAGTTATGCTGCAGATAGTTTATTTGCTCCTGGTGCTTATTAAATAATTTTTTTACTGCAGCACAAATGGCATTACTAAATATGTGCCTAAAATACAGTCTGAGTCCCTTCCTTTTTTTTTTTTTTGAGGGAAAGAAGAGCTTGGGAATATCTTTACATTATTCCT